CTCCCCTGTCTCCATAGCTGGGAGTCCCTAACGCTGTACCCTTGGGACCCTCAGCACCCAACTCGCCACGGAAAGGGGCTGGGCGGCGTGTCCTGCCCGCTCCCTCCTGTTCTCCTGCTGCGCTGATTGGAAGTCACAGGCCACAAAATGACACACATTATACAATTTCTTTTATGTGAAATGTCCAGAACTGGCAATTCCATAGAGACGGGAAGTAGATTCCTGGAGGTTGGGGCTGGGGGAGGGGAGAGGAAGACTGGCTGCTAATGTAAGTGCTAGTAGAGTGTTTCTTTTGGGGGATGACAAAAATATTCTAAAACTGATTGTGGTGATGGTTTCACAACTCGGTGAACATAGTAAAAACCACTTTAAAAGGGTGTGCTGTATGGTATGTTAATTATATTTCAACAATGCTATTTATTGTTTTAAATATATATATGTCTGTGTGTGTGTGTTTGTGTGTGTGTGTGTACTGATTTCAGAGAGGATGGGAGAGGGAGAAAGAGAAACATCCATGATGACTGGCTGCCTCCTGCATGCCCCATCCTGGGGATTGAGTCCAAAACCCAGACATGAGCTCTGACGGGCAATTGAACGCTCAACCACCGGGCCACACTGGCCAGGCAACAGTGCTATTATTTTTAAAAAATCAGCTGCTACACCGTCCACCAACTGGCTAACCCCAGGACCTGATTCCCTGGTGAAGAGAGAAACAGGCCCCTTTAGCTTCTGTAGTGGGGGACGGGACTTCAGATGCCTGGCAGCCAAAACGCCTGTACCCATGGGAGTGAAGCAGCTGACGCTTGGCCTGAGAATTCCCCAGGCCTGTTTGTGGACGGGTTCCCACTCTGCTCGGGTCACTGGGTCATGACCCCACATCTGCGCTTAATCATTTATCGTTAGAGGAGGGTCTGGATCGCCTTGTCTCACCTTTGAGCACATTAGTCTTTCCAAACCCTTTATTTTATTTTTATTAATTTTTGTTTTTGTTGTTAATCTTCACTCAAGGATATTTTTCCATTGATTTTTAAAATATATAGATTTTATTGATTTTAGAAAGGAAGGGAGAGGGATGGAGGGAGAGAGGGAAACACCAATGATGAGAGAGAATCATTGATCGGCTGCCTCCTGCATTCCCCCTACTGGGGATTGAGCCGACAACCCAAGCATGTGCCCTTGGCCAGAATCAAACCTGGGACCCTTCAGACGCTCTATCCATTCAGCCATACCAGCTAGGGCTCCATTGATTTTTAGGGAGAGTGGAAGAGAGAGGGACAGACAGAGAGAAGCATCGATGTGAGAGAAACACAGACTGGTTGCCTCCTGCAGGGGCTCTGACCAGGGCCCGGGTGGGGGAGGAGCCTGCAACCAAGGTACATGCCCTTGACCGGAACTGATCCCAGGAGTTTTTGGTTGGCAAGCCGACACTCTGTCCACTGAGCCCAACTGGCCAGGGCTCTCTCTTTATTTTCATATGACTTAAAGTGGCCCAACTTTCAGGCAAGCCAGTGGCTGTGTCAATGGATATGCGAGTTGCCAACCCACTAGTATCTGAGCTGTGAGTTTTTACAGTTGTGCTTCTAGGCAAGAAAAAATCTGAGCGGCAGATTTCAGTGTTTGGTTTCAACCAAAAAACTCCCCCCACCCCACCCCAAGGCTCCCCAGTCTTGTTGAAACTCATCATAAGGTTCACTATTGTGGAGACCTTCCCCACAATATTTTTGGACCTCATTCAGCTCTACCACTGGTAAATGTTTACCAACCCGCTCTGGGTGGGCTGGGGAAAGGGTCCTGATGTGTAAGGTAGCTTTTGCCGATTTCCATAATGTAAATGCTCCCGCCATGCCCCTTTCAAACCATAAGGGGAGGTCACTGAACACAGAATTGGGAAGTGTAGGCCTATCAGCCAGCTGCTCTGCAATCAGGGACCCACCCCTCAGGGGCAAACTGGCCTTGCTCAATTGGGTGACCTACATTGGCATCACCTGGGTGGCCCAGGGACCCACACGTCTTGAACTTGCATGTCAGTCATCCTGGCCTAGCCATGTCCTTAGGAGCCTGGCGGAGCAGACGTAAAGCATCTCTCAAGGAAGGTGACTTCCCCCTGGGCCTCCAGTGATCCCTGCGAACACATTTTAAAATCCAGTGTTCAGCATGGACATGGAGAACCAGGTGGATCACAAGGAAATAGGACACGTGAGCAAGAACCAGCAGAAACAGACCCTCAGACACTCCAAGTATTAGACTTATCAGACACAGACTATAAAACAACTGTGCTTTGATGAAAAATAGACGTCTTAACGTCCCCTTGAAGAAGGGGACAGGAAACTATAAAAAGGGACATACGGGATTTATAAAGAACATTGAAGAAAGCTCTACCGTTTCATCAGAGATCAAAACCAAATTCCTTGAGAGGCCATCTGGTGATACAAACCAGTGAAGGGATGGGACACGCTGGTGACCTGGGGAGCTTTGAGGGGCACAGGGGCTCCTTGGCTGCAGCCGGCCGTGGCCACGTTGACTGGGGGCCCAGCGTGTACATCTCCTGCTGTTTCTAGAAAAAGCTCCACATTAAAAAAAATTTTTCTTTTTTTTTAATTTATTGGGATGACATTGGTTAATCAAATTATATAGGTTTTGGGTGGATATTTGGATTGCTTTTTGTTGTAGTAAAATACACACAACATAACATTGACCGTTGTAAGAGGAAAGCATTTTATTTTATTATTTTTATATATATATATTTTTTAAAATATATTTTTTATTGATTTTTTACAGAGAGGAAGGGAGAGAGATAGAAACATCGATGAGAGAGTCATCAATCAGCTGCCTCTTGCACACCTCCTACTGGGGATATGCCCGCAACCAAGGTACATGCCCTTGACCGGAATCGAACCCGGGACCCTTCAGTCCCCAACCTGACGCTCTATCCACTGAGCCAAACCGGTTTCAGCTATTTTTTTTTTATATTTTAATGATTTTTCACAGAGAGGAAAAGAGAGGGATAGAGAGTCAGAAACATTGATGTGAGAGAATCATTAATTAGCTGCTTCTTGCACATCCCCTACTGGGGATGTGCCCGCAACCAAGGTACATGCCCTTGACCGGAATCAAACCTGGGACCTTTCAGTCCACAGGCTGACGCTTTAACCACTGAGCTAAACCAGTTTTGGCAGAGGGACACATTTTACAGTGTACAGTTCAGTGATATCAGGTACATGCACAGTGTGTGCAGCCACCTCTGCTGGAACCTTTTCACCCAGAACGTTCTCGTCACCCCCAAAGGAAAGAAACCCCGTGTCCACCAGAAGTCACTCCCCATTCCCATGGCCCCCGGCAACCACCCATTTGCGTCTGTCTCCGTGGCTTTGTCTAGTGGACATGTCTCATGTGAGTGGAAGCAGGCAATGTTTGTCCTTGTGTGTCTGGCTTCTTTCACTTAGCATGTCTCCAAGGTTCATTCATGTTGTGGCATGTGCCAGTCCTTCATGCCTTTTTCAACGGCTGAATAGATATATGCATCAATCAATTGGTACTTGGATTTCTGATATGCTATCATATATATATATATATATTATCAGTTCTGTGTGGCCCTCAGCACATACCTGCTGGCCTGACCTCTGCCTGTGAGGGCAGGGCCGACAAGATGAGACCTTTGCATTAGGACTTGCTGCTACGATTGTCCTCAGAACGAATCTCTGAGGCGGGTGATCTATTCCTTTTTCACATTAGGAGCTCGAGGTTCAGAATGGCAGAAAGACATGCCTAGAAAGACATCCCCCGCTCCATCATCACCCGGTAGCTCATCTACCCCACATCAAACCCTCAGGGCAAACTGATGGGCCCCAGAGTGAGTGGGAGCCCAAGATCCAACGCATGGCCATGACCTTGAGCTTCCCGGTGACTTAGTTTCCCCGGGTGTAAACATGGCTGGTGCTGGAACAGTTTATCTCCAAGACCCCCAGCTTGCGGACAGGGTCACTCCCACTTTCCCCAGCATCCATCGGGGCGTGCATGAGCTCTGGTCAAATCGGTTTCGCGAGCACCTGAACAAAAAGATGAGGCACCTGGGTTGTCCGGGTAACTGCGGATTCCTCCCCAGAACTACCCTGGGGCAGGATACGGGGGGAGACAGCCTCCAGCGCCTTCCCAAATGCTGATCGCCTTGAACTTTCCCTGCTGGAAGCCCTTTGACGAGCAGGGGCGAGCGTCTGCCCCGCCCCGGGCACCTTTCCTCTGACCCCAGCTTTCCAAAAGGACGCAGGAAAGGGAAGCGACGTCCTGGCGCGCGTGTTTACGCGGGGCAGCGCGTCCCTCCACTCTCTCCAGCAGCAGCTCGCGGACTCCCCGATCCCGCCGCCTGCCACTCCGACCGCCGCCTGCAACTCCCGCCAAGTCCGGGGCCCCGCGGGCAACTTGCGTGGCTGCACCCGCCGCCGCCGCCGCCGCCAACCCGCACACCCCGGGCGGCGGACGGGCCGCCAGGCTGGCTCCCAAGGAACGCGCCCCCTCCGCGGCCGGCCCGCCCTCCCCCGGGGAGCCCGCGGCCTCGGGGTGAGTGTCCGCGTCCCCGCCCCGGTCGGGTCTCCGGGCGCCCCTCGCCGCCTCCCCGGGGCGGGTGGGGGGGCGGGCGGCCCGGCGGCGGCGGCGGCGGCGCCCGGAGGCCGCGCTGCTGGCGGCCGCGCCGCTCCCCCTGCTCCGAGCAGCTGCCGCCCGGCGCTTGCGCACTGGGCCCGGGCGCGCGGGGGCCCGGCTTTGTGTGTGTGTGTGTGTGTATGTGTGTGTGTGTGTCCGAGTGTGTGTGTATCTGTGTGTGTGCATGGGAGTGTGTGTGAGAGAGTGCACATGTGAGTGAGAGTGTGAGTGTGAGAGAGTGTGTGTGAGTCTGTGTGTGTGTGTGAGCGGCGGGCGGGCGGGCGGGCGGAGTGTGGCCGCCGCGGGGCGCGAGCAGGACGGGCGGCGCGCTCGCAGCCTCCCTCTCCTCTCTCCCCGCCAGAACCATGTCGGGCAGGTCCGTCCGAGCCGAGACCAGGAGTCGGGCCAAAGATGATATCAAGAGGGTCATGGCGGCTATCGAGAAAGTGCGCAAATGGTAAGCGGAGGCGCCGCTCGGCGCCGCGGCCGCGCGACCCCAGCCCACCTCCCCGGAGCCGGCGGCGCAGCGCCCCGGCCGCCCGCCCGCGGCCCGGGCCCGGAGGGAGGGAGCGGGCGGGCGGCGGGCGGCGGGCGGCGCGCGGGCCGGTCACCTGCCCGCGGGGCCGCGGCCGTGCCCAGGTGCGCGCGCGCCTTCGCCCACCTGGCGCGGCGGCGGCGGCCTGAGGCGGGGGCTCCCGGGCCGGGCCGGGCCGGGCGGCCGCGCTGCGGGCAGTGCCCCCGCCGCCGCGGCGCTCGGCTCCCGGAGGAGAGTGCGGGGCCGGCCCCAGAAGCCATTTCGCTTCGTGCGAGTCACATGAAAGCGGCTTCCCGCGCGCCGGGCCGCGGTGCCGGCGGCGGCGGCGGGGAGAGCGCGAGCTCCATTGTGCGGCGCCGAGCGGGCCGCCGCCGCCGCCGCCTCCCCGCGCGCCCCGGGCGGCGCAGCGCCGGCCCCGCGCCCCTGCCCGCGCCGGGCGCCCCCGCCCCCGCTCCCTCTCCGGCTCGCCCGCCGCCCGCTCCCGCCTCGCGGCCCGGCGCCCCGGAGTCTGCGGAGTTTGCGGAGCGCGAGCCGTTTAAATTTAGCGCTTCGGGCGGCCCGGGGCGAGGGCTCCTGGCGGGGAAGCAAGATGGGGGCGAGCGCGGGGAGGGGCGCCGCGGGCCCGGAGCGCCGGGCGCCGACCCCCTCTCCGCGCGGCGCCCGGACGCCGGGCTCGGGCGAGCCAATGTTATTTTTTTTTAAATTTTATTTTTTTTTTTTATCAGAAGCCGGTCCTGGGCCGCGGCTGCCTCTCCCAAACCAGCAGCTCGTGTTTGTCGTGCGGAGGAGCCGTTGTTTTGTTCTCTGAGCGGGGACGGGGGTGGGGGATCGGGGCTGGCCGCGCGTCTCCGCAGCCCGCGGGAGGGGGCCGGCGTGGCCCGGTCGGAATGACCGGGACTGGACATCGGGGGGCGAGAGGGGGGGTGTCTGGCTCGGGATCGGCCCTCGGGCCGGGCCCGAGGCGCCCGAGATCACCAGGGCGAGGCGGACTTGTTGAAAACTCCCAGCTCCCGGATTTCAACTTCATTATTTTTATTTTTTTTTTCTTTCCCACGGCTTCACCGGGGTCAGGGAGGTGGAGGAGCCGATGCGCTCACGTGCCGGCGCCGGCGGGCTGGTGGGGAGGGGGGACCCTTTATTGAAAGCGTGAGCATCGGTCGCCCCACCCCCTCCCCTCCCCCACCCCTCCACCCCCTCCGCGGCTCTGTTTGCGTTTGGGGGTGTCCTTTCTCCGGGAACGCGCCTCGGTCTCTAAGCGCCACAGGGGGGCCGAGCATCCAGTCTAGCCGGGTCGCGAGTTCGCTGTCCTTCCCGAGGCAACCCCGACAGAAAGAGGGAAATCAATAAGCCCACGTGCTCGCCGCCGCCTCCCGTGGAGAGGGCCGCCTGCAGATGGCCGGATGCCCGGCGCAGGGCTGGGCTTGGCTCCGGCGGGACAAAGAATTTTCAGGACCGTGAGAAGGGGAGGCTTTCCAAAGTTGAGATCCAAGTCCTGCGAGCCGTGGGAGCTCCCCCAGTGCGCACAGGGCACCCGAGGCCCCCTGGAGCCATTTAGAAATGGCAGTAACAGCTGCAGGCCACCACCACACACACACACACACACACAAACACACACACACAAACACACACACACACACAAGAAAGCTAGCCCACCAGCCCCTTCTCCTCCTGCGGGATTCCCAAAGAGAAGGCTGGGGTTGTGTCCTTAGGGCCTAGGCTGAGCAAGGGGCTGGGGGCAAGGTACCCCACAGCCCCAGGTTCCCAGCGGGGCACAGGTCCTGCACCCAGACAGCGGCTCCTGCAGGGCCCGCCTGCCAGCTGCTCCGCAGGGAGGGCAGATGGAAGGATGGGGCTTTCCGCCCTGCTGGCCCCGCTGCGGGCCAGGCCTGTGTTGAGGGGGGGTTGGGGGGGAAAAGGGGAGGACAGGTCTCTTCCCTCCTGTTGGAAAACAACTTGTCATGAAAGACCTCAGGCTTTGAGATCCCGTTCACTTCCTGTGTGTGACCGTGGACAAGCCAGGTACCTTCTCTAACCACTGCCCCAGGGGGTCCTGTGCTCCCACCCCCAAAATAAGATCACGTCTCTACCACACTCATCCCTGCACACAGAAGCCACCATTAAATGTTGTCTTGACGTTAAGGTGGGATCCACAGAAACTTACATTTTGCTGATTTTTTTTCTTTTTCCCCTGCCCCTTCTAAGCAAAACCAACAAACAAACCTACGTTGCATTGTTTCTTGGGTTTCCCCTGCCTGGAGGAGCCAAATCGCCCCTTCACTCTGCCTTTAGGACGGGCCTTCCCGTCTGTCCTGCAGACTTTGGGTTGTTTATTAACCGCGTGGCCACCGACCGTGCAGTCCCTGCTGGCTGGGGGGCCGGGTTGCCAGATTTAGTAAATAAATTCATGCACACTAAGTTAAATTTGAATTTCATGTAAACAACGAAACGATTTTTAAAGGCATTTCTCTACATCGTAAGTATGTCCCGGGCACTCTCTGGGACATACTTAATACTAAGACAATTATTCGTTGTTTATCTGAAATTCAGATTCGGTTCAGCAGTCTGCATTTTGCCCAGAGGATAAAGGTGGCATCTGGCATGCCATTCGGCGGGGAAGCCTAGGGTGGTGTTTGTCCCCAGCCCCAGGGACCCCACGCCCGCCTCTCTGCCAGCCCTGCCCTGCCCCTGCCCCCGCCCCCAGAGAAGCCAGCCACCAGCCGTGACCAGCGTGCCTGGAGCTGCTGACCCTCTCCTTTCTGTCTGGTGCCCCAGCAGGGCGGGCTGGCAGCGTGCGAGGCAGCCCGAGATGGCCGAGGGAAAGACAATGTGGTGGGACCCTTTTCGGGAAACCCGGCCAGGTTAGGGGGCCTGGGGTGGGTGGGTGTTGGGCAGGAGGCAAAGGCTTGAGCTGAGAGGTATAGGCTTTGGCTGGGGACCCCTGGGCCTTTGGTGTGAAGGGTCCCTCAGAGCCTTGTGGGGGACGGAGACAGTCCTGTTCCCAAGGATTTCCCTCTGTCCCTGGGGGAGGGGCAGGTTTGTGCCTAGGGCCTCGCCTCGGAACCCCGAGGGTGCCCTCCAGCCAGACAGGGCAGGGCAGGTGAGTCTCGGCCTCGTTCGGACAAGGGCAGCCGCCAGCCAGGCCTCCTGAGGCATCGAGCGCCAGCCCTGAGAAACGAATGCAGAGTGAGGGATTCAGAGCTATCACGGAGGGAGCCAGGTGACCCCACGATAGTCCTGCCCTGGGACCTGGGCCTGGGAGAACATTGGACATTGATTGGCCTTGGCCTGGGGATTCCGGATGGGTCCCTGTAGTTTATGTAGGAGCCCGTGCTGAGGAGGGGCTCTGTGTCTGTAGCTGGGACTGCACTTAGCCTTTCCGCCTAGGGGCCTGAGTCTGATGTGAAGACGGATCCGTAAGCATCCTGGTTCTGGGGGCCATCAAGGCAGGAGGGCTCAGTGCGCAAGGCTGGGGTGAGCTGGGTGTCTACACGTGGGGAGAGCTGGGGGGTCTGAGGGAGCCTCAGACCCTGGGGAGGGGGGGGGGTGTCTGTGGGCCCCTCGTGATCGGACCATGTTTTTGAGAGTAGCCAGGAGTCTGGATTTTTATGTTGTCTGAGTTTTTTTTTTTTTTCCTTTTTTGTCAAGTTTGGCAAACTGGTACAGTTTTTTTAAAATTATATTTTATTGATTTTTTAGAGAAGAAGGAAGAGGGAGAGAGAGAAACATCAATGATGAGAGAGAATCATCCATCGGCTGCCTTCTGCACACCCCTCACTGGGGACCGAGCCCGCAACTCAGGCATGTGTCCCTGGCCGGAATCGAACCTGGGACCCTTCTGTCCACAGGCCTACGCTCTATCCACTGAGCCAAACCGGTTTTGGCTGATTCGGATTTTTAAAAGTACCGTGCAGGCCAGACAAAACGGTAGTAACTACAGCTCAGTGTACCCCCAACCCATCGCCCCGGGGCCGTGTGCGGGCCGTGTGCCCGGGGCGATGGGTTGGGGGTGGTGGGAGCTCCGCTGCTCCTCTGAGCCATGTGGTATGTGTCCTAAGGCGCTGTCCAGCCACCGCTGGATGAGACCCCCCGAGCTCACGCGACATGCCTGCGAAATCCCTTCTCGTCCGTCATCCCTGGTGCTCGCCCAGTGACTTACCCCTGAGCTCCCGGGCCCCACCTCTGCCCGGCGGGCTGCTGGCCAAACCCCGGCCTGAGGTCGGGCTTGACCTCCCTGCCCTGTGTCCCACAGCCCCTCCGTGTCCTCACCTAGAAACCCACCTGCAGCACAGGGAGCTGGGGACTCGGGCCAAGGGCTGCCGCTGGGTCATCGGACAGTCTGGTTGTGCTGAGCTCCCAACCTGAAGGGCCTGTAACCTCTGGGAGAGGCACCTCAATCGCAAAGATTCACCCTCACTGTCCTGTGGCTGGCAAACCCAGACCTGGCCCAGGGTGGCCATGGCTGTTAGCTGGCTTCTCCCGGGGCCAGATCGGAAAGGTGTCTTGCGTATGACAAGTCAATTCCTTTAAAGTGATTTGAGAGAGGAAGGGGGGGGGGGAGAGAGAGAGAGAAACATCAGTGGTGAGAATCATTGATCAGCTGCCTCTTACACGCCCCCTACTGGGAATGGAGCCTGTAACCCCGGGATGTGCCCTGACTGGGAATCAAACCATGACCTCCTGGTTCATAGGTCGATGCTCAACCACTGAGCCACACTGGCTGTGTGTGTTTTTGTTATTGTTTTTAACATAAATTGTGGATTTGCTGACCTACTGGGGCGCAGGCCCAGGCCCAGCAGCCAGTTGAGGCCTTGTGAGTGCTGAGGGCCTTGGGACCCTTGCACAGGTACCAGCAGTTGGCACTTCTGCCCGGCATCTGTGGCTGATGTGCTCTGTGGAGTGAATTCCTCATCTTCCCGGGAGACAGGAGAGCAGAAGGTGGCTCCGGGGCCACAGCCTGTGTCCAGTCCCGGTCCTGCCATTGACTATGAACTGGTATCACCGCCTGTAACGTGGGGTGACAGTGGCTCCTCTTTCCTAGGCCTGTGGGCGATGTCTGGGGGAGAGAGCATGTAAATAAGACGTTGGCACAGGGCCTGGGCACACAATGGCTATTGTGGCTGCTGCTTTGTCACTGGGACTGTTTCTTGGAACGCCCCGTCCCTTCCTGGCACCTTCTGACTGTTCAGGACGGAGTGGGGGAAGGCGCGGACGGAGGATGGTCCGTCCTGCCTGTGGGGGGAGGAGGTGGCGGCGGGCAGTGACTTAGACACCTGCCTGACTCCTCCTTTCTGGGGGAAAAGGGGCCGGGGGGGGGGGGGGGGGGGCGGGGCTGAGAGGCTGCTGCTCCGAACAGCAGTGAGGCCCGGAGGTTCCAATTCGGGCTCTGGGGGAAATTCCATTTCTTTGCCCGGCACAGCGGGGAGCTGACGGTTCTGGCCATGCAAGGTTGTGGGAAGAGCAGAGCAAGTGTGTCCAGTGCTTCGCACAGAAAACATACCAGGAAGGTCGCTAGCGTAATAACAATACGGCCATGCGCTCCCCCCAGAGGGAATGCACAGGGTCCGAGCCGCACAGTGTGAGGCTGGAGGTGTCCGTGGTTTGGGGCGGGGGGGGGAGGGGGGCCTCTGAGTGTGGCACCCAGAAGCCCCTGTGGGGAAGGCGCCGCCTGGTGGCTGTGACGGGTCCCACCAGCCCACGTGGAGGGGAAGACCCAGGCCGGGATGATCTGGGCCGGGATGTGGGAGAGGGTGGCAGGCGGCCCAGGGACAGAGGGGCCCACGCCATGCACAGGTCTCGGTTCTGGCGGAGCCTTGTCCCTGGCACTGCTGAGGGCTCCTGGCAATGGCACCCCCTGCTCCTGGGGTGCGTCTGGCCCCGCCTCCCACGTCTCCCATGGACCCTGGAGCCAGAACGGCCCGGGCTGGAATCCCAGCTCTCCCTCGGGCAGATCACCCTCGGGGTTTGGGGCACTTGGTGATACGACCTGGTTTATGGACTGCGGCGGGGGGGGGGGGGGGTTGAGGACAGGAGTTCAGGGCAGAACAATCATCGGGAGAATGACAGGGGCTTGGAGCAGAGTGCTGGGGAGTGGAGGGGGGATGGTGGTTATCCTTCGTGAAGACAGCGACCCCTCTTCCTCCTGTGGCTGGTGGCTTTCTCCTCTTCGCCCATAAGCCTGCCTCCGGCAGTGGGGGCCCTGGACACTGTCCCTCAGGAGTTTAGGAAGCGGCCGGGCAGCTGTGCAGACGGGGACCTTCGGAGACAAGACCCCGAAGCACCTGCCAGGCTCAGGACTGAGCAGCGGGAGGCTCGGGGCATCTCTCCCTCCAGCTGCACCCACAGTCCAGGCCCGGCTTCCCTGTTAAACCCTCGGTATCGGCGCTCGGGGCCTGCCCCTGGGAGTTTGCCCCTGCTCCCTGCCCCCTCTGCTGCTCCAGAGGGCAGAGCGAGGGGTGATGAGTCCAGCCTCTGCTCCCGCCCCCCACAGCCGGCCTCAGACCCCGCCCCAGGAGGAAACAGCTGGCTGCCCAGAGGGGCTTGGCGGCCCTGTGTGCTGGCTCTGCGGGGTGAGAGCTGCAGGAATCGGGGGCCCAGATCCCCTGGTCCGGGGGCGTCATCCTAATGGCAGCTCCTCTCCCGCCCCCCAGTCTCACCAAGCACTTCCTTCCGGGCGACCGAAGACTCGAACACACAGGGTCTTAGGCAGCCCTCACGCAGCCTGGGGAGACTGACAGCCAGTCGTGGTCTGGCAGGTGGAGACATTGAGGCTCAGAGGAGGGAAAGAGAGATGGGCTACACGCCGCATCTGTTTGACCTAGAGCTTTTCCTCTTACCCTGAGCTGCTGCCCCGAGGGAGTGTGGCCAGGGCCCCCATGGGGTGAGCAGGGCCCGGCCCCAGAGCCCCTGGTAAAAGGCTCTTCCTCCTCCTCCTCCTCCTCCGCAGGGAGAAGAAGTGGGTGACGGTGGGTGACACGTCCCTGCGAATCTACAAGTGGGTCCCCGTGACGGAGCCGAAGGTTGACGATGTAAGTATGAGGGCCCTTCCCCAGGAACACACACACACACACACACACACCCGTCACTGCAGGCCGGGAACCCCACAGTTTGTGAGCGGTGACACACCTTGGGATTTGGGGGCTGCCAGAGGGGCACCCACAGACAGGCAGGCGCTCCCCGTCATTGCAGCACCGCCCCCAAGCACCTGACGCCGTGCGGGGTGTTCCCGCGTCTATGTCTCGTCCGGAGTCTGTGGGGCTGATCTCTGCCTTCTCTGTACAAGTGAGGCCACGGGCTCAGAGAGGGGAAGCCGTTTCCCCAGAGCCGCACAGCAGGGGTCACGTGTGTCCTGGCTCCGGGGTTCACGTGCCTGCGCTCTCTCCACGCGTGGAGAACCTTTTGTTCTCACCCCAGAGTTTTGCACAGGGAAGCCGGGGTGGCTTCTAGACTGTGACCACTAGGGGGAGCCCCCGCGGCTGTGCTTGGTTTTAGGGCGGGATGGATAGATGACAACCCTTCAGAGGCTCTGAGACCAGTGGCTCCCAAAGACCCCAGGTCAGCTCCTCTCCTTCCCAGTCAAAACCCTGCACGGTCCCGCCCCCAGGCCTTCGCGTGGGCCATTCCTCCTGCCGGGAGGGCCTTTCCTCTCCTTGTGATTGGTCCCCCCTGCAGGAGGATGGTCCACACGGACCCGGCTGCACAGTTTCATTGGCTCCCGGAGGTGCCAGGATCGGGATGGGCAGGTGCAGAGGGGGCCAGAAAGGCTGGTTGGAAGCTGCCGTCTGAGTCTCCTGGGGAGAGGAGCGCTGGGCTGAGGCCGTGGGTGTTTGTCTCTGCTGGTTCTGTCTGGTCCGGGTTCGTGGGGCCACCAGAGCTGCCTTCCCCAGCGGCCCCAGACCGAGGCTCCGGAGGGAGACCCGGTGCGACAGGCTCCTCGGAGGCCGCCTGGCTCTGCCGGGGTCGTCTACGCCTTTGCACACCGTCGGGTGGTCCCTGCTCTCCAGGAATGTGTAATCTCGCCGGGGAGATAATTATAGAACAGCACGGAGCAGGCACCGGGGACGTGCCGAATGGATGGCGATCCAGGAGAAGCCACTACGTGAGGCTGTCGGTGGGGACAGGGCGGCTCCAGCCGGGCAAAGAGCACCCTGACGAGCCCGGGCCTCAGTCCCCTCTTTCCTGCCACGAAGCCCAGGTCCTGGGTGTCTGTGTGTCTTATTTATTTATTTATTTATTTATTTAATATATTTCATTGACTTTTTACAGAGCGGAAGGGAGAGGAATAGAGAGTTAGAAACATCGATGAAAGAGAAACATTGATTCAGCTGCCTCTTGCACACCCCCTCCTGGAGATGTGCCTGCAACCAAGGTACATGCCCTTGACCGGAATCGAACCTGGGACCCTTGAGTCCACATGCCAACGCTCTATCCACCGAGCCAAACCGGTCAGGGCTGTATATCTTTTTAAAAAATCCTTACTCGAGGATATGTATGGATGTTTGTTTGTTTGTTTTCATTTTTTTTGTTTGTTTTTTAGAAAAAGAGGAAGGGAGGGAGAGAGAAACATCAATTTGTTGCCTCCTGTACGCACCCCAAGTGGGGATCGAACTCACAACCTCGGTATGTGCCCTGACCGGGAATCGGGCCTCCAACCAGCTGAGCTCCCTGGCCGGGGCCTTCCTGTGTGTCTTTTGTAAATGGTTTGCCTCCCCTGTGCATGGTCCCACTCGCTCAGCTCAGTTCCTGGGAGGCACCCAGGCTGCCCGCAAACGCGTCCGATTGTCCTTTCCTTCGCCATCAACGGCCTCAGTCCGCCCCGCGCCTTTTGGAGGTGCCAACACGTGTTCCATGTTGGCATTCTCGGGGATCGTGTCCCATTCTTAAACAAAGAGCCGCCCGACTCTGTAATCGTCGCATCGCGTTACAGTGAACGAATGCACCATGATTTATTTAACGAGCCTCTTCCCGATGGACACAGGGCGCTTCTGACCCTGTTCTCTTCCGGGTTTAAAAGTGGGACCCCACACAAAAGCACCCTCCCCCTGCCCTCCTGCCCTCGTCTCCCTCTGTGGTACCTGCCCTGGGAGGGCAGCCACGGCTTGGCCCCCAGAGGCTCCCCCTAAAGGAGGAGGGGACCCCGCCAGCCTGGGTGTTTGCGTGCCCCACAAGCACCGGGGCTTTATCCCAGAAGCCTCCCTCTGCTGGGCCCTGCTCCCGAGCAGGCAAAGCCCCCGAGGGGACGCGTTCAAGTGCAGGCCGAGGAGCGCCCTCCGGACCCGGGGGCTCGGGGAGGAGGTGTGCACGGCACCATCCAGGTCTCGCTCCTGTCCGCACACACGCGACCTGGTGACTCCGTGTCCGCTCCATTTCCTCCTCCAGAAAAACAAGAGCAAGAAGAAGGGCAAAGACGAGAAGTGCGGCTCGGAGGTGACCACGCCGGAGAACAGCTCCTCCCCCGGGATGATGGACATGCACGGTGAGCTCCCCGGCCAGCCGGCCGGCTGCCCAGCCTCTTCCACCAGGTCCCCTCCCGCCAGGCCCCCCAGGCCCAAGCGGCTCCTGCACATAAGCATGGTCACTAATGGGTGACATGGGTGTGCTGTGTGCCCGTGTACCGTTATCATGATGATATGAACAAAACTAAGAAAAATTCCTGAGTGTCTTTTAGACTCAGACTGGTTTCAAATTCCCTAGCCATCCCCAAACGCCTCTTACCACCTGGCAGGTTCAGCACAGGGTTTAAGTAACGTCCTCACATCGTGCTTAGCGGTTAGAGCTCTTTTGTCTTTCTCTCCTACAATAATCTTCCCTGATCCTTCTCCCCCTGCATGGTATCGACAGCAGAGCCTGGCCGGCCGGCCTGTGGGATACCCCGCTTTGTGGGGTAACTTCTCTCTCCCTTTTGCTTCGGATCAAGCGGGGGTCGGTGAGAGGCTCGATCCGGCAGCGCCGCCCCAGGCACTGCGCCTCGGCCTCTGTGTTACTTCCGAGCCAGGCACCCACGATGTCTGTTTCCTCACCCGGAACCAGGCCTCAGATGCCCACCCGAGACTTTAAGTGTGCCAGGCCTCCGTCTGTGGCTAGCTGCCTTCAAACACCAGGCTCGCGGGAGCCCGTGGGGGCGGGGCAGGGCGGCCCAGCTCCTGGTGCCCGTGGGGCAGGGGGCCCTGGGTGTGCCAGCTCGGAGGTTCCGGAGGGGCGAGCGTCCCCTTTCCTGGGGCAGCGTCCCATGGGCCGTGGGGCGTGAGGTGGCTGAGCCCCCAGCAGCGTCGGGAGTTCACCTGTGCTTCTGTCCCCCCCAGATGACAACAGCAACCAGAGCTCCATCGCAGACGCCTCCCCCATCAAGCAGGAGAACAGCAGCAACTCCAGCCCCGCGCCCGAGCCCGCCCCCTCCGTGCCCTGCGAGGGCACCAGCGCCAAGGCCGAGGAGGCCCCGGCCGAGGGCAAGGAGCCCCCCGGGGCCGAAGGTACGTGCCTCAGGGCAGGGCTCGGGGCCCCTCCCCCTCCGGACAGTCCAGCCTCTGTCCAGGCAGGCGACGGCAGGTCTTTTTTTTTTTCTTCTTTAACATTTTTTTTTATTTCAGAGAGGAAGGGAGAGGGAGAGAGAGATGGAAACATTGATGATAGGAGAGAATCATGGATTGGCTGCCTCCTGCCAAACCAGCCAAGGTGATGCCTGGGGCTCCTATTCTCGGGCGCGGGGGTGGGGGGCAATTTAAAAATCACACAATCTAGCTGAATCTGGCTTGGCTCAGTGGATAGAGCGTCGGCCTGCGGACTGAAGGGTCCCGGGTTCGATTCCGGTCAAGGGCACATACCTTAGTTGCAGGCACATCCCCAGAGGGGGGTGGGCAAGAGGCAGCTGATCCATGTTTCTCATCGGTGTTTCTAGCTCTCTACCCTCTCCCTTCCTCTCTGTATAAAATCAATAAAATATATTTTAAGAAATACAAATAAATAAATAAATAAAAACCACACAATCTAGCATTTGGAAAGCACGTGTTCTGGGGAATGAGAAGTAAGAAAGGGGGTGTTGACCATTGTGGGAGATACTGTGATTTTAAACAGGTGGCCCAGAGAAGCCTCCGCCAGCCGATGAGGCTCAAATGAGGCGAGGAGATAGCGGGGAGAGCCCTGCGGGCACAGGGAGCCCCTGCACAGGTCCTGAGGCGGCAGCGTGCTCAGTGTGGCTGGAGGGGAGCGGGCAGGGCGAGGGGCTCCGACGCGGAGACCCCAGAGGAGGCGGGGCCGGGAGAGTGCAGGCTCAGGGGGCTCCTTGGAAGACCCTGACTTTGATGCTGAGAGCGCTGGAGCCGTGGGGGCTCGCACCCCGAGATGTGAAGGATCGCTTTGGCTTCGGTTCTGTGAGCATGCAGGGCGGGGCTGCTGCTTCGTCCGGGTGAGAGAGGAGGCGTTAAATGGTCTGACTGTGCAGGGCGTGTGTGTGTGTGTGTGTGTGTGTGTGTGTGTGTGTGTGTGTGTTTATAGGAGTGTATGTTTGTTCGTGTTGAGGTCTTGGACCCCCTTTATTTTTTACTTTTTAAAGTATATTTTATTGATTTTTTTTTATAGAGAGGAAGAGAGAGGGATAGAAAGTTAGAAACTTTGATGAGAGAGAATCATCAATCAGCTGCCTCTTGAACACCCCATACTGGGGATGTGCCTGCAACTAAGGTACATGCCCTTGACTGGAATCGAACCTGGGACCTTTTAGTCCGCAGACCGACGCTCTATCCACTGAGCCAAACCTGTTTTGGCTATTTTTTACTTTTATTTATTTTTTTTTACTGTTTTTTTTTTTTTTTTCATTTTTTTAATTAAGGTATTATATGTGTACTTACCTTACTATCTCCGCCCCCCCCACATACTCACATATATTCCCTCACCCCTCAGAGTTCTGCATCCATTGGTTAAGCTTATATGCATGCACACAAGTCCTTTGGTTGATCTCTTATCTCCTCGACCTCTCCCTAACCTTCCCGCTGTCATTTGGCAGTCTGTTTGATGCTTTACTGTCTCTGTATCTATCTTTTTGTTCATCCGTTTATAATGTTCTTTATTACCCATAAATGAGTGAGATCACGTGGTGGTTTCTTTCATTGACTGGCTTAGTTCACTCAGCATAATGTTCTCCAGTTCCATCCAGGTTGCTGCCAATGGTAAGAATTCCTCCTTTTCTATGGCAGCGTAGTATTCCATCGTGTAGATGTACCATAGTTTTCTGATCCAGTCATCTGCTGGCGGGCACCTCGGCTGTTTCCAAATCTGGACCCCCTTTCCGTGAAGATGTTCACAGGTAGTCGGTCCCTGGTTTACAAACAGGTTGACCTGACGATGATGTGAATGAAAGCCATGCCCACGCAGTAGAAGCCAGACTTTTAAAACTGATCTCTCCCGGGCCCCTGCTGTGCCGGGCGGTGAGTCCCAGCTCCCCGGCCACCACAGGATCAGGAGCCAGGGCGCGGTGAGCACAGGCCGAGCTGGTCACCTCGGGGCGGGCACCTGCCATCTGTGTGGCCTTGGGCTGCAGTGTCCGCTCCTGCACGCCTTCCTGTTTCCTGGTTCATAAGACGAGACAAATAAAAGCTGCCTCTCTTCTCGGGCCACCACAGGGAAGTGAGTGAGAGAGCAGAATGCCCGGCCGAGCCTGGCGCTGGGAAGGGCCTGGTGAGCCATTGGTGGGGGGCGGGGGGGGATATAGTGGGACGGGGCCGTGCAGGACCAGGTATGGCTTTCCGTCCTGCTTTCTCTGACCAGCTGAGCTGCCTGGCCAGGGCCTGCGTCTCCTCTTAAAGGGCCCGTTGCAGGGATCCAGTCCCTGGTTAAGACCTCCTTTCATAGCTGCCACATTTTGTTCCTGCCATCCTCACCCCCCTAACCCCCCCCGCAAGCTTTCTAGGTCCAGGTAGGAGCCACACCAGGGTCCTCTTCCTGCCACCCCGGCCCCTGGCCCTGCCCAGGTGCCAGCATTGTTCAGGTGGGACCACCCCAGCAGGCCGGGCCCACCGCCCACCTGCCGTGGTCAGAGGCCCCCCCCACACGGTCTCCCCAGGGGGTGCACGCTGCCCATGGGACCAGGCCGGTTGGTCGCCAGCTGTCGACCTTGCTTTGAACTTGTTTACTGCTGAGTGAGTTCAGGGAATGACATCATGTTCGAGCTCCCCGGACTAAATTTAGGCCCCGGGAAAATAACTTCCCCTGGGCGAGTTCCAGGCCCGCTCTGCCGAGGGAATCAGGCCGCCGAGCCGAGCCCGTGTATGAGCCCTGAGCTCCAGGGCCCGTGCCCACACCGAGCGCTCAGGCCGGGCGAGGGGGCCAGCGTGACTCCAGGTCACCCGCCTCCTTCATGATCTCTGTGCCCACATCTGTGCCCCCGCTTCCAGCTCCTCCACAGGGTGGGGAGGGACTCGGGTCAGAGCAGAGGAGGACAGTGACAATGGAAAATGATTGCTAAAGCAAACACCTATCTATATCTATAAAAAGCCAGCGACCCGAAAGCCAGATCGCCCAGTGGCTCTGACACCCACTGCGTCCAGCGAACCAGCCAGATCTGGGGGCGGGGCCGGCCAGCCAATCTCCTGCAGCCCCTCCCCCTGCCCAGCCCCACCCCAGATTGGCCCCCCACCCCAATCAGGAGCAGAGCCGGCTGGCCAACCACCCACAGCCTGTCTCCCAGCCAGCCCCCGCCCTGACCGCCCCAATCCGCTGATTGGGGCTGGGCCGGCCTGCCCCCCCTGCTGCACAAATGTGTGCACTGGGCCTCTAGTTATGAAATAGAATATAACATGAGTATGGATTTTTTTTTTTAATATATTTTTGCTGATTTCAGAGAGGAAGGGAGAGGGAGAGAGAGCGAAACAACGATGATGAGAGAGACTCCTTGATCGGCTGCCTCCTGCTCGCCCCCTACTGGGGATTGAGCCTGCAACCTGGGCATGTGCCCTTGGCCAGGAAGTGAACTGTGACCTCCTGGTTCATAGGTTGATGCTCAACCACTGAGGCACACCTGCTGGGCTATTTTAGTGTCCTTTTATTTATTTATTTATTTTAATTTCTTAAAAAATATATTTTATTGATTTTTTACAAAGAGGAAGGTAGAGGGATAGAGAGCTAGAAACGTTGATGAGAGAGAAACATCGACCAGCTGCCTCTTGCACACCCCCTACTGGGGATGTGCCTGCAACCAATGTACATGCCCTTGACTGGAATCGAACCTGGGACCTTTCAGTCCGCAGACCGACGCTCTACCACTGAACCAAACCGGTTTTTTTTTGGCTTTAGTACCCTTTTAAAAAGCCAGGGGACATGTGACAGGGACCCTGAGAGCCAGCTGAGTGGGGCCCTGGGTGGGATGCTGGCGCTGCACACACACCCCCTCCCCATCCTCTCGCGAGCTCTCCTGCTTTGTGCCCCAAATAAGCTTCAGGTAGGAGCAGGTACTTTTTTCTCCAAAGCCGCACTATGACCTGCTGTGCCCTGCACCTTCCTTCTGCTAAAGGAACGTGAGGTTGGGGAGCAGGGAGACGGACGTAGCATCAGAAACAGTCCAAATAACGGGCGGAACGGGATTCATGGGATAAGCAATCGGTGACTAGGACGCCGTGCAGCCACCTTGTATTGAGAGCATTTTCAGAGGCATGGCAGCCTCCGCAATGCTGTGTGAGTCCCGTTTGGGCGAAGAGGAGCAGTGTGTGCGTGTAGGGGAAACCTCTGGGGAAATGGGACTGGATCCTCTACAATGTTACCGGGGTGGTGGTAGCTGTGGGTGGTGTGAAATAATTGGCGATTTTGACCAGATTTACACACACACACACACACACTCCCTGTATTTTCTGCTTCTTGCAAAGGCCAGTCATTGCTCTGGCGATCGGAAAGGAATACCCAAAGCATTAAGAGAAATGCTTGCCAGTCCCCTCTGCGTGTCCCCCAGTGGAGAGAAGGCGGGCTCTGTGATGGGAAGAGGGAGTCCGCAGCCATGGTGGTTGGAGCGCGCTGTGGCCACCAGAGGGCGCCGGGTGCATGTGGCACAGAGCCTGTAGCTTTCCCCCCCCCCCCTTTTATTTTTTTAGGTGCCCTCTGCGGACATTCGGCAGGTAATGTGTGTGCAGGAAAGGGTTGGAGGTGACAGGGCCAGCAGATGGCCTGGATGCTTATAGCATCTCTAAAAAAGTGAGCTAGAGTCTTCCCAGCCTTCCTCCCCACTCCCCCCCAGCTTACTGTAGCTCCGACAGACCGCCGAGCCACCCCACTACCCCGTCCCCAGGTATTTTTAGTCATTGTTCCATCTGGCCCCGCAAGCCACGTGTCTAAAAACAGCCTCTGTCGTCTTGGCTTCACCCTCAGAGGCTTCCGACGAGCAGAATTCGCAGTCTTCCGTGGAGAACTCGGCGAGCAGTGCGGAGAAGGCCGAGCGGCAGCCGTCCGGGGACGCGGGCCTGGCTGCAGAGACGCCCTCCATCGCTCAGGTACCCCGATCCCCGAGGCCTCAGAGGGGCAGGCAGGCCGGCCGGGCGCCCGTCGGGGCGGGGGGGCGTGTCCGGGGGACTATTGAAAGGTGTTTCGTTATTTTGTCTTGCTTTCTCGTTGGACGATTGGAACTCTTGTGCCTTCCCTTAGCGGGTGGGGGGAGCGTCCCGCTGTGTCCCGCCCCAGGCACTGGGGCTGCGGGGGAAGGGCGAGACTCGGGCTGGTGTAGGAAGAGGGAGGGTCCTCAGCTCCGTCATTTTGTTTCCACAAAAGCAGTGCCTGTTCTCAGGGATCCCGTCACCTTCCCCTAGAGCTGGGGCGATACGTCCTCCGAGTCCTCAAACGCCAGATAAAATGATCTTTAAAGATGTTTTGCAACTGACCCGACACCCCATGCCCAGACCCCTCTCCGGGGCATCGCCCTTGGTCAGAATCTGTGCTGGGTCCGTGCAGAAGCAGGAGGCCGGGGGTGGGATGGCAGGGGAGAGGGGGATAGGAGCCACGCCCCGGGTTCAAGTCCCAGCTTTGTAAGCACACACAGACGTTGGCTTCAGGGTTTCCAGCTGCCAAAACGGGATCGCCGCGCTGGCTTGGGGCTGGCGTTTGATGAGATGAGAGAAGGTGGGTAACACGCCGTGGAGCTGGACTCAGAAGATGCCTCCGTGTTGCCTCGGCGACCGTGATGACTTTCGCCGTGAGCCCTCTGTGCTCATGTAAAAGAAGGCGGAGTGCCAGGCTGGTGTGGTTCAGTGGTTGAACGCTGACCTATGAACCAAGAGGTCACGGTTCGGATTCCGGGTCAGGGGCACATGCCCAGGATGTGGGCTTGATCCCCAGTAGGGGGCGTGCAGAAGGCCGCTGATCCATGATTCTCTCTCCTCATGGGTGTTTCTCTCTCTCTCCCTCTTCCTTCCTTTCTGAAATCAATTAAATATATATTTTTTAAAAAGAAATAAATAAAAAGGGGGAGTCAGTGGTATCCCAACAGCAAAGAATAAAACCGTCTCTGCTGTGCTGAGCGGTTTCCGGTTCCTGGGGATAAACTGAGGCGTAGCCACAGGAACGAGGAAAAGGGCAGGACTTGGTCCGCATGGTGTGTGGCCCGGAGCCAGGCCTGCCCAGGGCCGCTCCTCTCAGACCTGAGCGTCCCGGTGCCCTGGGATCTGCATCCACCTTCGTGCGATAGGACACCCTCCAAACACCCAGAGGCCTAGAGGGTGTGTGGATGGGAGATGTTTGCAGTGGCAGGAAGTTTGTGAAAGGGATCTATTTAAATAAATCTAGGGCCGAAACCGGTTTGGCTCAGTGGATAGAGCGTCGGCCTGCGGACTGAAGGATCCCGGGTTCGATTCCGGTCAAGGGCATGTACCTTGGTTGCGGGCACATCCTCAGTAGGGGGTGTGCAGGAGGCAGCTGGTTGATGTTTCTCTCTCATCAATGTGTCTAACTCTATCCCTCTCAATTCCTCTCTATGTAAAATCAATAAAATATATTTAAAATAAATAAGTAAATAAATAAATAAATCTAGGGCTGTATATAAAACAGTCTGGCAGCCGAAACCAGTTTGGCTCAGTGGATAGAGCGTCAGCCTGTGGACTGAAGGGTCCCAGGTTCGATTCCGGTCAAGGGCACATGCCTTGGTTGCGGGCTCGATCCCCAATAGGGGGTGTGCAGGTCATGTGCCCTGACCAGGGATGGAACCGCGACCTCCTGGTTGATAAGGTCGACGCTCAGCCACTGCGCCTCGCCGGCCAGGCTGGTTTCTGCTCTGAGAGCAGCTCCTCTCGGGTTTGCACTTGGTGGTAAGCTTGGAAAGTCCGTCGTGCAAACCCGAGGGCTCGCTCGGGGAAATTGTAGTATAAAGCCTTGTTGAAGGCTGTGCTGGGAGGCTGTCATTCAGGCGAGAGGTGGCGGCAGCTCAGGACGAGGCGCTGGGCAGAGGGAGAGGCAGGCGGGCTCAAGGGTCTTTGGAGAGAGAGGTGATGGGACTTGCTGTTAGGCTGCGTGTGGGGGTGTGGAGAGAAAGGGGGGGGGGGTCTCCCGGGCATTGTCCCGCTTTATCCCAGGAAGATGTCAGCACCCCCAGCAGGTAGGGGATGGGTGAAGTCAAGAATTGGTGCCCGGCCTGTGTGGCTCAGTGGTTGAGTATTGACCTGTGAACCAGCAGGTCATGGTTCCATTCTGGTCGGGGCACACGCCTGGGTTGCAGGTTCAATCCCCAGGGTAGGGTGTGCAGGAGGCAGCCAATCAGTGATTCTCTCTCATCACTGATGTTTCTGTCTCTCTTCCTTCCTCTTCGAAATCCACTGGGGGGAAGAGGGGGAAACTGTTCTCAGGTGGGTGAACACAAATGCAATATACAGGTGATGTCTTATAGAATTGTACCCCTGAACCCTATGTAATTTTACTAACCGACGTCACCCCAATAAAGTCAATAAAAAATAAAAAATAGTTCTCAGGTGACAGGTGAGGTTGGAAATGATGGCGTGGGACCACCGGGCAGGATGTGGGACAGTGACCGTTGAACCTGTGTTTGAGTCAAGGGACTTCTGGGAATTGGGTGACACCCACAGGCCTCTCCCATTCCCGGGCCCCGGGAGCAGTGGTCAGCAGGGCAAGGCTGGTCTGGGCGTGGTGCTTGAGAAGTAAACTTCAGCCTCACCCTGGCGGTCACTCACGGGTGGGAGGACGGATAACGGGGGGGGGGGACACACACCTGCTCCAGGAGGGGTGGGCTGAGGGAGAGCTTAGGGGAGGACGCGGAGGGAGGTCAGTGTGACGGGGTCAGGCAGGACTGAGGCGACTTGAGGTTCTGGAGACCCAGGAGGAGTTTGGGTTTGAGGTTTCCTGCTGGTGTGTGACCCTCCTCAAGTCCATGCTCTCCGGCCTTCAGGTCCTGCCTCGGTTTCCTCCCAGGCTGACCGTTCACCTCCTGGCAGCCCTGAACGGGTCTCCTGGCCTGTTAACCTGCCATTCTCTCTCTCTCTCTCTCTCTCTCTCTCTCTCTCTCTCTCTCTCTTTAATATTTTAAAATATTTTATTGATTTTTTTTAAATATATTTTATTGATTTTACACAGAGAGGAATTGAGAGGGATAGAGAGTTAGAAACGTCGATGAGAGAGAAAAACCGACCAGTTGCCTCTCACACACCCCTCAATGGGGATGTGCCCGCAACCAAGGTACATGCCCTTGACTGGAATCGAACCCGGGACCTTTCAGTCCGCAGGCTGACGCTCTATCCACTGAGCCAAACCGGTCCCGGCTTGATTTTTTTTTTTATAGAGATAAAGGGAGAGGGATAGAGAGCTAGAAACATTGATCAGCTGCCTCCTGCACACACACCCCTCCCCCCCACTGGGGATGTGCCTGCAACCAAGGTACATGCCCTGGACCTGAATCAAACCCGGGACCCCTCAGTCCGCAGACCCAACGCTCTACCGCTGAGCCAAACCAGTTTCGGCTAACCTGCCATTCTCTTTCCTTCTTCCCCCAAGGATTTGGAAGGAGGGCCGCCCTCTAAAAAGATGAAACTGGAGACTTCCCAGCAAAACTCCGAAGAGATGTAGACGTGCAGGGGACCCGGGCTCCGGGCCACGTTTCCCGGGAGACCCCTCAGCAGGCTGACTTCTATGGCGTCCCCGGGCGAGCCCTCGGGTGAGACCGACGGACTTCCCAGGTTTACGTGCAAACCCAAGAGAACCAGAGCGGCGCGGCCTCGCTCAGACACTGAGGAACTTCCCTTCGTGGAGCGGACCCGCGGATCTCGAAGCGACTGTCCCTGTGGAGGCGGGCCGACCGCTCAGGGCTGTCGGTCACTTGTCTCCGAAGCCAAGGTTCCATTTGCGTTGCTGCTGTATCGTCTTTCTTCGCCCGCGTCTCCCCTCCTCATGACATGAGCTACCAGAGGGCGGTTCCCACCAGGAGTCCTCGCTGCGTCCCACCGGTTCCTCCTCCCGCTTTCTTTGCGTGTGCCTTGTGCCCTCGAGGCGACCTCCGGCATGTTTCCCCAGTGGTTCTGCATCTCCCTTTGCGAAGTGCCCTCTCGGCTCCGTGGAGGCTGCCACGGCCCCGGCCCTCGCGTCTCGCTCCCCCCTGTCCCAGGACTTCAGTGGGCGCAGAGCAGGCAGGGAGGAGGAGAGCAGTGGGACCTCCCCGGCCACCTGCCCAGCCTCCACCGTCCGGTCCGGGGAGCCTCCGATGTCAGGACATCTCTCCCCAGCTCCGGCGACTCGATCCACTCACTTCTTCCGTCCCCGGAGCCTCTGAACCTGGCGTTTCCCCGTGGACACGCGGAGCCCCTCCCTCCTTCTGGCGCTTCCACCTCTGCCCCCGCCACACCGCTCCCTCCCACGCCTCCGAAGATGGGGGGACGTCTGTGACCGACTGCCGGACCGTCTCCAGATGACAGGGAGGCTGGGAGGCTGGGAGTGGTGGCAGGAGAAGCTGGTGCTCTCAGAGGATTCCAGATCCGCAGGGATCCACTGCCCTGGGCCTCCCCAGGCCCCCGGCCCCACCCCGGGGGAAAGGGGTCAAGATTGCGATCCAGGAAGCCCGCTTGCTTCTGCATAACGTTCCGGACACCACGGAGCCAAGCCAGCCGCTGGGTCCTGTCTTATTCCCGGGGTCCCCTGTGGTCGGTCCCCCCAAGAAGGCCAGAAGGGAGGCACCGAGGAGCGGGAAGCTTTGCCCTCCAAGAAGCGGGGATCGAACCCCTGCCTCCGCCTCCACCTGCCTGGGGCAGCTGCTTCTCACTCAAGGGAAACGCAGCCCCTTGGACCAGCGGCCTGAGTGTCTGGCTCGGAGGCAGCCTGGTTGCTCTTCGTTCCTCTGTGGACCTCTCAGCCCCTCACCCGGTCCCCAGGCTTTCTCTCCCGCCCTGGAGGCCGCCTCCCTCGGAACTGTGTGTGGTGGGGAGGGAGGGGGGAGGATTGAGAGGGTTTGTTGGCGCTTTCTGGTTTTTGGTTTTTGTTTTGTTTTGTTTATTTTGCTAACGGGTGCATCTTCAGGTTCCACCGTGGACGCGGGGATCTCTCTCCTGGCCACCATGCGACTCTGAGGGGGAGGCGCTCCCCCTCGCCCGTTTCCTGCACTTCGAGAAGAATCAAAATGTTCCTGAATTTCAAATACCTCATGCAAAAGCGTCTCCCGAGATAAGGGGAAACACACAGGCGAACTTTGGAAATCTCCCCGTTGAAGGGAGCGGTGGTGGCCGGACGTGTTTTGTCTTAAAAAAAAAAAGAAGAAGAAGAAATCCTCATTCGTTTCACGCCCTCGGCGGCCAATGCTCCACAGACCTGAGCTCCTCCTCCGCCTTACCTCAGCGGCGCCGGCGGCTTTACCTCCAGACCCTGTAGGTCCGAGTCACGTTTTCCTTTGCAGCAAAACTCCATCTTGACGAAGGGCGAATTGGGATGTGTATCTCCTGCTCTCGTCTGGGAAGCGAGGGGGGGCGGCTCAGACAGCCGGCGGAGGGTCACGCCCGCGTTTGCACACGCAGGTCCATCGGCCAGGCTCCCCTGCGCCCTCGGTGGGCCCCGCGGACAAGCCAGCGGGGAACGAGGAGGCCGTCCACAACACCGAGGCTGACACCAGTTTTTCTCTGAAGTGCCTGAAGGGAGGGGTGGGCCGGTGGCCTGGGAGCAGCAACCTGGCCCGGCCACGCCATGGCCACGCCAGGCCACGTGCCAGCGCGCCCCGCACGTGACGGCTGGTCCAGACGAGACTGTAAAATCCAGATGTGCTTCCTTCCCCGCGGTCCGCGGCCCGCTCCCCGGAGCCGCAGTCGCCCGCTCACCTTGCAGCTGGCCCGGCCAGGATGGGGCCCTGTGCCTTCCGTGGACACCAAGCCCCGTGGCCTCAAGGGCTCCCAGGCCAAACCCGTTCCCCCGGACGCTGGGAACGCCGTGGCTACACATTCCACAAAGTGCTGGCACTTACACCCGCACCCGGAAGGCCGGCTGCCACTACCGCCACCGCCGCGGGGGGTGACCTCCCGTTTCCAATGGCGGCGTGACCTGGCTAGAGGCATACAGACCTCTTGTTCACGTTACCTGATTTTTTTTTGTTGTTGTTTTCTCTTACGATTTTTTTTTTCTTTTTCTTTTGGTGTGCTGTACAGCAGTATAATTTTTCACTTATTTATTCCATCAGTAGGTATGGTTTGTACAATGTACAATGGTTCCATTTCAGGAAATGAAAATAAAAAATAAAAAAAAATTTGGATCATGACCGACACCATGCAGTGTTGGTAACGTTGTCATAAAAGGTGAAATGCAGCTGATGGCGAGAGCGTCCCTCGGCCCCTGCCCTGGCCTCCCGCACGGCTGGCCGTGTGGCCCACACGGGGTGCAGGACGCCATAGGTCCCGGCGTGCCGGCTGCCACCATCAGGCACCAGGGGGTGCTGTGGGCAGGTGTGGTGGCCACCCTACCACGGGGAGCAACCTCAGGCCTGGCCCATGCATGTCATGCAGCCAATCAGAGCCTCAGTTTAGAAGCCACACCTGCCCACCCCCCTCCCCCCTATACACACACACACACACACACACACACACTCTCCAACCGGGTTCCTGACCGAGGACCCTGTCCTGGGCTCTGGGCTGCTGTGGCCCGTGGCCAGGACTCTGAGGTCAGTCCACATCCCAGGCGTGTTGTCCTGACTTGTCTTAACTCGCCATCTGGTGAGGTGCTCCGAGCAGAGCCAGAACCTTATTTCTCTCAGTCCAGCCTCACTTCCTCTTGCACCTGCCACCGGCCCCGGGGGGGTGGAGACCAGGAAAGGGGAGAGCTGATGCAGAGTCTGCTCCACGCCTCACCCCGTGGACCCCCCTGGAGGCACATGTTCCCTCCATGTTGGTGCCCCTCTGCTTCCCACCCCTCTGCTTTCTAACACGTCCCGGTGTTGTCACCGGGGCTGGTTGCTCAGCAAAATAAACTCCCGATGTGGGAAGTTCAGCCGGACGGAACACGGGGCACAGGAGCCTGTTTGCTTAGCAACCAAAACGTGTTCACCAGCCCCCCTTTCTCTCCCCTTCCCGCCCTCGCTGAGTGCCTGTTCCCTGCGTCACCGTCACCATCCTGGATGGAGGTCCCTGCCTCCCTGTGCCTCTCCCCCTCTCTCTGCCGTTCTCCCCCCACCACACCCCCAGACCGCTGTCTCCCAGGCGTTTTGTTTCCGCTTCCGGCTCTGCTGGACGGAGGGCAGGGTTTGCCAGTGTGGCAGGGGCTGGAAAAGGTCAGACTGGAGGTGGGGCCGGACAACCAGGGAACTGGGGCAGTAGGCCAAGCAGCAGGCGGTGTGTTGGCTGGAGGGGCTGTGCGCCCTGAGGTAATGTGAGGCATAGACTGTAGACAGGAGGACGGGACAGGTAGGCTGGGGAGACAGAGTTCTGGATCACCTGAGTGTCATGGAGGTCAGCGGCTGGTTTCAAGGAGGAATTGCACCAAGCCTTTCAACACCACTCGGGTGAGGAATGCATATTTCCCTGCTAGAGGCCGATAGTAGACACCAGCTGCCTTTGCCAGTTGCAGTCCCTTCTTCCAGTAGAGGGCCCCCTCACTCACTCTCAGTCCCATGGATGACCGTGTGACCCAGGTCTAGGTCCCTCCCCCTAGGGACAGCAATTGGTTCCAGGGTGATCACATGACCAAAAGTGGCCCAATGAGAGTCAGCCCTGGGATTTTTTGCGGGAACTGTCGGGAAGGAGTTCTACTGGAGTGTGAAATGGAGCTGCTGGCGCCCCCTCCCCCAAGGTGGGGAGAAGCCTGCCTAAAAATGAAGGCAGCACCGGAGAGAGTGGAAAGACCGTGAGTGTGAGCTGCCTGAGAGTAGCATTGGAGCACTTGGTCCCAGCCGGCCCTGAGCCAGCCTTTCTCCTGAACGTTCCAATTTTGTGAGCCAGACATGCCCGTGATAGTTTCCGTCTGTTTTCAGTGGGTCTTTCCCACAGGAGGCCCCATGTGGGGTGTCTCCTGGACAAACCCAGGAGGAGTGGGTGCTGAGATGGTGCTCTGACTCCTAAGTGGGAGTGTTCCTCTCCCCTCCACGCCGCTCCTCTTTCCATGCTCCCGTGTGACAAGGACTCGGAAATTTCCCAGCTGGCACCGGGAACTAAAGGGAGGATAACAGGGGCCCGCTGTGGACTTCGGAAGCAGCCTCTTCTAGAACCTCAGAGCTGCTGCACCTTAGAGCTGCCGCACCTCGGGTACGTATTGGAACACCTCTGGGCCACAGTCCCCTCAGCTGGGAAATGGGGAGAATAATAGTGTCTACTCGGGCGGTTGTGAGGATTAAATGAATTAAAACATGTAAAACGCTTGGGATGAGCCCTGGCATATAGAGAATCGCAATAAACATTCGCTGCTATTGTTATTACCACTGTAGCTATTATTCTCAAGCATGTTTAGACTCCAGAAGTCCAGCTCCTGGAAAACGATGCACAGAGAAAGCAAGAGTCACCACCTCCCCCCCTACCTCCCTGCCCAACTGCTTTGGGCTTGCCCTCTGAGTTACACCTTCTCTCTCTCTAAATATATTTTATTGATTTTTTTTACAGAGAGAAAGGGAG